AACCTCTGCTCTGCAAACCCTGGGGGTCCATGGATCATTCCTAAGGTAACTAAGAAGAATTCAATGAAAGGTAACTGAAAAACCCGTGTTTATTGTCAAYAGATTAACTTTCTCCATAAAGGAACTTGTCTCTTCTGGAAAACATTTGGGGGCTGCCGAGCACAAAGGTTGGAAACCACTGAGCTAAAGTAATGTATCTTTATGTGTGATAATTTGACAGCTAAAGGGCTAAAGCTATTCAACTGTTACCTTTATGAAAAATGCCTGGAGAATTGAATAGAATGTGATAAACTTCGTGTTGGCATTTTTGATTCAGTCTCTGAAACTTGAGTAACTGAGGGATTTCTATAAAAATTACTCTACAAATGTGCAAAATGAAAGGAGAATGAAGTCCTTTTCATATGGATTCCAGCTGATCATATAGAATCATGCTCCTGCTGTAGACTATGATTATTCTGTACTCTTTTTAAGACTTAACCCTGAGAAATGATGAAGAATTATAGGTTAATTTATGTAGAACAACAGGTTTCATTCCTAGTACATATGTAATGAATTTTAAATTGTAAATGTACACTGAATTTAATTTAAGATTTGTTAAATAATTTCTACAGAATGAAAAATCAGTGATACTCAGGATTTTGGGTTTCCTCACCAGGGTAGCTTTGAATCCAGATACCCAGCTCTGACAGTCGGATCCCTTGGACAGTGTGGGTTTATCATAATGCCATAGACTTCTCCTATGATGGTTGGTACAAGAAACTCCTGCAAATGCTTATAAACTTTCTCAGAATTTAAGAAGACAGGGCAGGATTTGCCAAGCAAAATGATTCCCCTCATGATTATACATGGTAAATTTTTTTAGGAGAAGTGTTTTGGGGTTTTTTCCTCCCACATTGATTGAGTTTTACTTGATTTTGACAGTATTAGTTCACCTTTATTTGAACTGCTGGATAATTCATTTGTAGAAGAGGCAGTACATTTAGGTACTTCCATCTGTGTTTAAACAAGGCTCTTGTGCTTTCCCATTTTAAAAAAAGAGATTTTGTATTGTAATGCTTGTGGTAGATGAGGTTTTGAATTTAACTCCTTCCTACTCTAGTTTCTCTTAACAACTCTATGTTATCAACACCTGGGGTTTCTAGTTTACTCTCTTTGCAAATATGAATTTGCAAGAAGGGGTTGATGGTAAGTAGCGTGGTTCTAATTTGCACTTGTGAAGTGTGTCAGACAGTTTCATCRGGGCATGGTGAGCAGAGGAAAGCCTGTCTTCCTCTGAAAACAGCCCTCAGAGAATGTCAGAGAGCACGTTTGGCTGTGATAATCACTTGCAAATGCAGTATGGCTTTGAAATGAGCTGTCCAGGAGCTGCTGGAGAAAGGGATGCCTGTTCTTCTATAAATTCACTCTTTGTCTTCCTCCTTTTTCTTTCTCCTATTTCTGCTGGTTTTCATTATTCTGGGCTGTCACTTTGATTTAGTTTTGGATGAATCTACCTCCTTGTGTTGGTAGAAGTTCTATGGATTCACTTGGATGAAACATTTGTGACAATCATATAGATAGCCCTTTCCAGCCTTCTGTTCATGACTCCARCAACCTGGCATCTTTATAGCTTCATCCATCCCTCCTATCCTCCTGGTGCCTTCCMGACAGCTGTTGAAATCTCTCTTCCTAGTGGTATCTGAGTGCCCTTTTCTCATCCTTCCACACGTTCTTGTCCTTAGAGCAGGAATCTCGTCCRTAGTTACTGTCCATTTGTAAAGTTTTTTCTTAATCCATTAGTAATCTTAAGGTTTAAGCCTGGGGTGATACTTGAGTGCATGGCTGGACAGTGGCCACCCTTTTCTCTCTCAGGCAAAAGGGCAGAGGATTTATGGTAATACCTCACTGTGCCCTTGCTCAAGAGCTACAACCAATTTGTGTCCCCATAAATCATCAGTGCTCCAGTTGTGTTAAATTCCCTGTGGCCTGTCCCGTTTCTCTACTACACCACATTAGCTAGCCTTACACCTCCCCCCATAAACCCCAGCTTTCATCACACRCTTGCCCAGCGCCCTCAGAGGAATTCAGAATGAGTCAGGCAAGGTGCCTCTGGGGACTCCTACTGATGCAAACTTCCTCCTCCTCAAGGCAGCCTGTGGTTTGATGCCACAATGCAGCCGGTACTTGTCAGTTCGGGCCTTCGCTGTGGAGTTGATAGCAGAGCTTGGCCYCTGGCCCAGCCTCCCCTAAATTGCCACTTTCCTTCACTGGATTCTGCTGCAGGARGCGACACTCCCAGCTCATCCTCTTTGTAGTGCCAAACAGAGGAGCTTCTCAGTGCCAGTCCATAGACCATGAGGATTTTTTTTTGAGAAAGGGTTTATCATTCATTCCTAAGGTATATTCCTGTCCAGGCAGAAGACTGGCATCAGCACATTAAGTGTTGTGTTGATGTTTATMTGTAAGATTGAAGTCCACCCAGTTCTTGAGATAGGATCAGAAGAGCTTTAGTAGCRTCTGTCRTGACCTGCTTTCAGAGTCTGCATCCAGAAATACAGAATGTGATGAACAGGGCTCACTTATGTTGTTTTGGTTTGATCTTTCCCTCTCCCCCAGACAGGCCATTGTCTTTATAACATTATCTACCTTCTACCTCTTCACATGGAAARGAAAAATGCTTTTCTGGTGGTAATTACACAGTGCCGCGTTGTGGACCTTTCATCCCATTACAGTAAGTGGACAAACTACTGTAATTTACAAGAATGAAATAGGTGAGGAAATGGGAAAGTTTCTGGCACTCCCAGGCATAAATGCCAGCCTGACATGGGAGAACAATTCTGACAGAAAATGAGTTTTCTTGCTAGCAATGAGTGCTGGTGCAGTTGTGCTCTGATCCAGGGGTGGAGGAACGCTTGCTTCTCTTCAGGTGTTTGAAAAATAGAAGAATCGGGCAGTATTAATGGAGGGCTACAGACCCTTAACCTGTGTCTGCCCTTGCAGTTCAATTGAGACACKCTTCAGCTCTTCCGTGCTCTGTTTCAAAATCTCTTCAGTCTGTCTRTGTGCTGCCTTGTCATGGATCTGTTAGCAAGGTCAGGGTGTGAATACATTGAGATGTTTTTCCTCCAGCAGAAGTATTCCCCACCTCTGAATACACACCTTTTACTCCTCTCAGAAAAGACTGATGCTCTTATTTGCCTGAGGTTTTTTGCTGGTTTATAGTGTTTCCTCGTGGGAGGTTTGTCCTGAAGGTGTGATTGCAGGAGTAAGGTCTTTACTGGTGCATCAGCAAAAGAAGTATTTGCACATCACCAGGGAAGAGCTACCAGTTGGGTGGTAGAACTTCTTTGTCCCTTGGGTAGACCTGCTTGGGGGCTGTGCATTAGAAGCTGACTGGTTTGCACTTATCTTCTTTTTCTTTGTATGAGGRGGCTACCAAATGTCGGGGGGCCTGTACAGAGGTTGAGTTTCTCCCAGCATTACAGAGGATGAATTTGGAACTCTTGGAGGCTCAGGGTGGTTGAAGTTCCCCCCAACCCCCTCTGGGTGGTTTGGCAGTAATTAATTGCCGCCACCTGCTGACCAGGCACAGGATTTCTCTGGGCCAGCTACACTCATTCATGTGCCAAAGAGTCCCCACCATGCCCTCCCCAGCGAGAGGGTGATGGGGCTGTAGGGGAGATCAGGGTGCCTGCATAAAGCAGGAACACCTRGGGACAAGCACAAGATTGGTCATTTAAAGGTGGCACATGCCTTAGAGTGAACGTAACCATGGGTAAAGGCTGAGCTGGTCTGGCTTTGGGCTGCTGTGAACTTGTAGGTTATTGAGCAGATCGTGGATGAGATCAAGCCTGGTACAGGAGGTGTGGATGAGATATAACCTCGTATAACTATGGTGTTAAGTGCAGTCAAATGACATGTTCTCACTTTAATGCATCTCTCTACAGATGGCTCAAAGTTCAGGCACTTTCAGAATAAAGGAAAATAACGAAGCAAGAACTTTTATCTAATCCTGAATTCCAGAAGTTCAAGTTTTCTCTTCTTTGATGTAGTGGAAAGACTTCAAGTGTGTTTGTCAGTGTTCTTCAGAAACTATTTCACATTGTTAGCTCTTTCACAAAGRTGTCTTTTCTCACTTTTGTTTTTGAACATTTAAATAAGAGGTGAGCCAGACAAACAAGTACATTAACTGAAGGAGGGATGATGCCTATTAGACGGCGTCACTGCACCAAAGCTTCATTCCGTGGCCAAATTGCAGGAAGCAGCAGCACTCGCTGAGATCCTCTTCCCTGGCTGCTGTGCCTGGGGCACCGGTGCAGGGTTACATGGCTGCCATGGTGGGAGCTGACTTCTGAAGCTCTTGGAAATTCTGACCTGCTTTCTGCCCTTTAATGAAGTACGTGTAGCAYTTACCTTTTCTGGGGTCATTCCAGGTTTTCAACCAGCAGAGCCAGGGTAGGGACACCTCAGTGACTTGCTTTGATCTGAGTTCATTCTTACAGCTTGGCACCTGCTTTTAGGCCATCCCAGTCTGCTGCCTCCTGCACATTTAGAGCTCTTGCATTGGGGCAGAACCCTGGAAATGCTCCAGGGACCCAAGGAATTTCATGTCTCCATAGAGACTATAATCTCATTTTCTCTCTTTTTCAAAGCGCTCTCATTTTGACAGGAATGCATGGGGTTTCCCCTAATTATCCTCTAGTGAGTCTCCCTTTTTTTTGCATGTATCATTTTTTAATTTGTTTGTTTATTTGGAGGCGGAGGAGAGGCCTCTGAGGAGAGATAGAATGCCACGCACGGCAGTTCTGCTCGGCTGCTGCGGTGCCGTCCCTGTTCTGTCAGAGCAGGGGAAGGTTGCTATTACCATTTTATAATGCATGGCCTTAGGTTATTCTTGCTTTCCTAAGCAGTTCGAGTTACTGCACAGATGTGCTGTAAACCCTCATTTCCACCCTTGTTGCTCGACCCAGTGTCCAAATGGCCCCTCCTGCTCACCCTGCRTGTCTCTCCTTGCTCCCCAGGCCTCCGGGACCTCGAGCAGCTCGGCCGCCACCACCCCATCCGTGTCCACYCCTGTCACGGGCCACAAGCGGATGATCATCCCCAACCAGCCTCCCCTCACCGCCACCAAGAAGTCCAGTGCCAAGGGCCCGGGGCAGCCGGCGCCCATCCCGGTCACTCCGGTGGGCACCCTGAAGCCGCAGCCGGTGCCGGCCTCCTACGCCACGGCCTCCACGCCGAGCCGCCCGGCCTTCAACGTGCAGGTGAGGACGGCGCAGCCCAGCCCTCACTACCAACCGCCCGGCCCTCAGCCTGGCCACTACGGCAGCCTGGGCCCCGGCCAGCCCTACGCCGCCGCGCCGTCCCGCCAGCCCGCTGCCCCTCAGTACGGGGTGCCGCAGCCCCACGGGCCCGACTAYGGCTATGGCCCCCCGGCCGGCCGGCCCGCCGAGCCCGCCTACGGGTACGCGCCTCCGCAGGGCCGCTACCAGGAGCCCTACTACAGCGGCTACGGCGGCAGGAACGGCTCCGAAGCGCCCTACGTGCCGCAGAGCTCCTGGAAGGCCGAGCCGGCGTATCCTGCCAGCAATGCCATGGGCCAGGCTCCCCCTGGGCTCTACCAGCCGCCGGGCACGAAGAAGACCTACATCACCGACCCGGTGCTGGCCCCGCAGCCACCCGCCATGCAGCAGAAGGTAGGAGGAGTGGGTGATCACGGGCATTCCTGGGAGAGCCACATGGCTGAGCGTGGCCTGGGACAGTCTCTGAAAAGTGGTGGGGAGTAAGAAATGCTATCAGGGGTGTGGGACGGGTCTCCCTGCATTTGGCTTCTTAACAGCCAGAAATAGGGAACTCTCATCAGCTTTGAAAAGAACCTCTGCAGGGGCTTAGAAAAACTGTCAGCCTCAAAGGATGAGATGGTGTCATGGTGAGGCATGGTGTCAGCCCACAGGATGGAGGGAGGTTTTGTCGCTGTCACATGCTGTTGCCCAAAGAGCTCCCTGGCCATGCCTCTGCACGGCATCGCTGCACTGGGGCCTTKTCTTCTGGGCACTCCCAAGATGAAGTGAGAGATTGGGTGTCAGCTGCTTCATGTGTTTGTGGACATCCCTGGTTCAACAAATCATGTCCTCAGGTAGATGGGAAGTATGCAAGAGGCTGATTTTGATTGTGGTTCAGAGCAATTGCAGAGGTTGTCCTCTGGTGTGTTGCCGTTCAAAGATCACTTATCACTAAAACCACATGGAAATGAGTCCCCAGAGAGCTCAGCTCTGGTTTTCTTCTCTGGTGTACCCCCCATTCYCTTCAGTCAGTGCCCAGACCTCACAATGTGAAGTCAATTTGAAATAGGAAGTTAAAGCAGGTCTACCTGGTTCCTCTGCCTGAGCTGTTCCTGGCTGGCTTTTGTCACTTCTGCTGGTGGCCATCTCTAATGTGGCTCTGGGAGGACARAGGTGTTTTAGCTTTGTGGGCCCCTTGTTGTGTATGATGAGCTGAGGCTCTACAGAGTGAGGCAGGGAGGCAACGAAGCTGTCGCTGTTCAGGCCCACCCTGGCATGTCTGAGCACATCCCTGCTCTTAAATTTGTGGGTGCTCACAGGGAAATTGGGAAAAGCTCCCATCTCCCTGTGTCTTCCCTGAATTCAGGCTTCCTAACAGTGGTAACTTTGGAAGGCAAAGATGTTTCTCAAGGCAGTTTAGAGAGGGCAAAAAATTACAGAAGTCCTTGAGATATTATCTGCTAGCAGCTAAGAAATWGCTTTTTCTCTTTTCTTCCCCGTCCTTAACAAGAAGCTATGAAGCAGGGAGAGAAGCAGTGAAGTCTCAGCTCTGCAGGTACTTGGTATAGAACTTAGACTGGAAMGTAGTGAAAGACACAAAATTTGCACATGGCCTTAACTGGTGTAAATTGTTGTGGTTCCAGCGGAGTCACTGAGGAAATGCTGAGGTACAGCAGATCCATATTTAGACTTTTATAGATACAAGTAGGCTTATATATATATAAAAAATTTAAAAACTGTAGTTCAGTCAGCATCTCTATGGAAACRCAAATCATCTCAAACCACAAACAGCACAAGCCTGTTAGTCTCATTTGCATTACAAAGCTGGAGGGACAATTTAATTTAGCTCAAGTTTGGGGTTTCATGTGYGCCTATATATATTTATATATATATATGTTGGTGTATGTGCACGTGGCATTTGCAAACACAAATGCAGAAATACTTCATAAATATCTCTATAAAAARTGATTTCAGTTCTCTGCAGAACATACTATCATCTGCTTGATGGTAAATCCCTCCAGAAACTTTCTCTCTCTTCCAACCTGGTAATATCTGTTTTCTTGCCTATTTCACTTTTGAGCTTAAAAATTTTCTGTAACATATTAGTGGCAGACTTTGCCTTTAAAACAGTGGTGKCCAGCCTTATCATGTGCTGTTTTCTTTCTTTGCAGAGTAACTCATTCATAAAATCAACTTTGGGAATTATTTTATTTAAAAGGAAAAAGACTGTGTTAGAGCCAGATATCTGTTAGGGAGAATTGTCACTGTAATTCGATCTGGTTATCATGTGAATTTTAACATCTTTTCCTACTCACACRCATGCTTCTGCATTGGTTATGTTTTGCCTTTTCAAGATAGGTTTGAGACCTTTCAGTTAAGGAAACAGAAAGGGTAAGAAACATTAATACATATCACATAGAATGTAAGATGACTTTTACAAATTCTTCTTCTTGCAAGGGAATGATCTTAAAATATCAAACAATTTCGAAATGTATTTCAAATTTCTAAATATATTTGTGTGSAAATTATTAAGGCTGTTGTAGCAAATCCATCTCAGATTAAAAGTTCATGGTCCTTAATTCTAACATATACCATGTCCATCACTGTGAGAGGTAAAATTTTTCATTAAATTTGTTTCATGTGTTTAAAGGGTAAAAAAWAMCCAAGGTTTGTATTTGGCATTCTGGCTAGGAAGAGGTTCATGACACTGTGGCTCTGTGTTTTTTGCTGTGTGCTAATCATGTTGAAGTCGCTGCTGATCCAAAATAAATCTGGATCGGTATGGGAACAGCAAATAATCTGTACTGGTTCTTAAAGCCTGTTGAAAACAATGAGTTTTACTCACACACAATTCCACATTGCATTCTGTCCTTGGGCCACTTATGGAGTGAGAGTCATGCATGTGAAACCTCTGGGCATTTTAGTCTTTYACGGCACCCTGTCTAGCATTAGTGCTCAAGTCCTAGTTAGGAAATGATCTGTTGGAGTGCGTGTCCTTATTTAAACTTTCATGTGCTTCAAAAGCCAAAAAAAACCTCAGGAGCTTTCTCCTCTGGGTGGTGGGTGATAGGAATTTCTGTAGAAGCAGCARCAGAGTTCTCATGAGACCATCACAGAAACATGTGACACGATTGGCTCTTCTTGTTCTTGTGCTATGCCTGCTCTGACCAAGTCAAAATCTGAAGCCTCCCTCTTAATTTCTCCACTCCCAAGGGCAGAGAGCACAAGGTATGCTCTTTTCTGGCCTCAAGACATCCAGAGTAGAGTAATGGCAAAGCCAGTTTCTGACATGGAGTATTCCTGGAACTTTTCCCTGTAGCCAAAGCAGGGTTGATAAACTCCCACCACCGAGCAGCTCAGCTATGACCAAATGTTTCTGTGCTGGACTGGTTAAGACACTGAAAACGCCTGTTGAGTTTTATATCTCCAAATAGGTCTAGGTTCTTTTACTGTTTTTTTTTTAGGTTTGAGCATTTTTGAGACGCTGTCACATCTCCCAAGTGATTTATGAACCTTTCAGGGACCTCATGTGTCTTCTGGTATATTTGAGGGGTGGCTGTGGGASGTCTGTTCTTCCTATGTCTCAGATTCCAGCTAGTCTCCTAATTCTACTCATAGGCTTGGGGAACCAGATTTCTTCATAAAGGGACCTGCATATGTTCAACATCCAGACTGGGTACCACAGAAGCCATTTGAGACAGTTTTTGGCTCTTGTCCAAAATGGTGGAAAATTTTAATGAAAATACTGATCTCTTGAGAGCAATTTACCAATTTGGTGGGGACAGAAGTATCTTTTAGCTCTGATTTAGTGCAGCATCCAAGTCCGTATTTCTTTGCTGCAGATTTTTTTGAAAGAGAAAGGAGGCAATGTCTCTTTGATAGCCGTGTCTGTTCTGCTAGACATGGCACAAATGCACGAGTTCCTTAACCTGGTCAGCCCACACCAGTCACGGGTCCCAGGATCCCCATTCACACCCATAGAGGCATCAGTGCATGTGGAACATGGCCTCCTCTTCAGACAGCCCTTTGGTTTTGCACACCTTTCCAGGTGAGCAYCACGAAAAGAGGGGAGGCTGTAAATCAGAAGGATTGAATGAGGCAGCTCATGCTTGTGGCGTGGTTTGGTTTAGGTGGTGGTGGCTGCTTGTGACTAGCGCACCTCAGCCACCGCATGGTTTCTGCACTGCTGGAGGTGGTTTCTTTGCTGCCTGCTGCACCCAGCCCTGACACGGTCTYATGCAGCTTGCAGTGCCCAAAAGGGACCGTGACGGCTCACTGTTTTCTCATTTTACACAGCTTTTGTCAGTTTTTCCACTGATTTAATACCTGTGATGGAGACATTGGCTTGGAAGTTTCATCTTTGCTTCAGAAACATATGCTCACCAGTGTCCTTTGCTGTGACTGATAAACTTGTCTTGTACTGGTTTAATCGTTTTTAGTCTGCCATCACTCACATAAGGACGATACCTCCAGCGCTTGTGTTTGAACTGAGACTAATTCTCTTGCTGTTGCTGTTAATTTAGCAACTAGAAATTTTTCACTCTCTGCAGATGAATAAAGCAGTCTGCCAGATTCCCTCCTGCTGTCACAGGGATATATTCCTTCCTAGTGTTGCTTTTGACTTGTGGAGAAAGGCAGGCAGCCTGTTTTACACTGCTCACCTCCCCCAAAGTGTCTTCTCACCCAAAATTTTATGTCTTCACCCAAGTGTCTTTTTCACGAAAGTCACGTATCAAAAATTTCCAATGGATGGAATTTGGAGATAGTGTAAAATGATGATTGAAATTGATTTTCTATCAGTGTGGGACAGTGGCTTCCAATAGTTTTAATATGCTAAAATAAAGAAAAGCAAAGTAGAATTGAAAGGGTTTATTTAAAATATTCTGCTTTGGCATTTAATGAATTTTAAAAAAACTGAAAGCGAACGTAAAATGAAAGGTTGAAAAAGTGAAATTCTGAAATTCAGAGTTGAATCGGCAAGTTCAGTGTGACATTTCAGAATTTCCAGATGAATATGCAGTTCCTTTCTACCCTGAGAATAGCAACAAATGTCAAAATGTTGACATTCTTCACAAAACAGTAATTCAGAGTTCTAACCAGCACTAGCTGTATATCAGCTGCTGACTCTGTCATTGCTTCTGGGTGGATTAAATTAAATGCTGTTGCTTCTGTTAAAATGAGGAGGAGGGGAAGAAGGCAGTGGTGTCTAACAATAAGATGAGAAGCTCAAAGTTAGGACTTGTAGTGGCATTGAGAATGATGTTTTCCTCTTCAAGTTATTATAAATCTCTGCATGAAAATCTTTGTGGGTTTTTTTCAGGTGAATCGGTGCTGGCAAGAGATGCAAAGAGGTGTTTTCAGAATGGTGTCCTTATCCTGACTGCAGGAATCTGACACAGTCTGGTTTATACCCT